CCTGGCAACTAAAAACTCCTTCCTGGCAACTAAAAACTCCTTCCTTTTTCCTGGCAACTAAAAACTCCTTCCTCCTGGCAACTAAAAACTCCTTCCTGGCAACTAGAAACTCCTTCCTCCTTCTTGGCAACTAAAAATTCCTTTCTCCTGGCAACTAAAAACTCCTTCCTCCTTCCTGGCAACTAGATACTCCTTCCTGGCAACTAGAAACTCCATCCAGCAGAATCTGAAGATCATAGGAGTCACCCAACGTCCCAGGTATGCCTATGACCATAGATCACTGGGGCTTTATCATACTGTGCTCTTTACCTATATGTGGGAACATTTTATATGGTTTTCAACTTTTCTTTTCCCCATTCTGCTAATCGGTAGGTGACCCCCAGCTATCAACCCTGCAGATGTCGACTCAACTTTCCCAAGTTGGGGATTGCATAAATAATCACCCCGGGATGTGGGGCACCTGGGTCAATCAGAAAGAAGCTGCAGGTAAGTGCAAGCTTCTCCAGCTGCTGACATTCTATTCCTTCCCTCCTTTCAAGTAGTAACATATTACAGTATGTCTGTGAAGGTTCTCATTCATCCAGGTCACATGGTATATCTGTAAAAAATAATAAGTCAAGGCAACTGGACTTGCTGTATTTTTTTTTTCAAAGAAGAATACAGCAAGTTGCCTTGACTTCTTTTTTTACAGAAATATCATGACAGGTTTATGTTAAAGCTCACCTTTTCCCATCAGCCTCAGATATTCTTCATTGAATGTGCTGCCTGATGCACCAATTGACCAAAAACCATGCATGAAGTATTTTCAGCAGCACACCGCACTGTACGTTAATTGGCAAGGTGCTTTGGCGGTGGTGCCATTCAGAATAGAGACATAGAGAGGGTGAATCTCCCTGGTTCCTCCCTCACCCCTCATCAGCATGCTGTTGACATTACTAAATAAATATGTCTGTGAAGGTTCTCATTCATCCAGGTCATGGTACATGTGTAAAAAATAAATCAAGGCAACTGGATTTGGTGTATTTTTCTTGAAGATGTTTCACTGGTTATCCGACCAGTTTTCTCCATTCAGAATTGGGATTCTGAATTGAGAAAGCTGGTTGGATGACTAGTGAAGCATCTTCAAGAAAAATACAGCAAGTCCAGTTGCCTTGACTTATTTTTTACAGATAATATTAAATATAACCTTTCCGTTTTCATTGAATAGCTTATTTTACACCCAGTGATTTCATCACCCCATTGATCATGCATTCTTCTGTCTGTACATTACTGTACTATACTGTACTCACTGTACTATATGCCTACATTGTCAGTTTGTCACCCATGTATTGTAATGATTTCACATTTGTTGATCATGTAAGGTCACAATTGCCCACAACAGATGTGGAGAGCAGAGGAATGGCTTGCCTTGCTGTGCCTGTGTGTTTGTGGAGACACACACTGCTTACTAGCAAACACAAGAGTGGCTCCATGAAAACATGCAAGGCAAATGAGGCACCCTGAGGGCAGGTTCACAACAATTCTGGTCCGGAAAATGGTGTGAACCTGCCCGCAGTTCCAGTGCATTTCAGACCAGACAAAATTAAACATACACTGTTTTTGAGGTCTGGTCTGGTCTGGTACGGACTACATTGGTGTGAACAGAGGCCAGAAACAGCGCAGGGATATATTAGGATGCATTTTGGGTCCAGAAACAATCTGGTCTGGTCTGGTCTGCTCTAGAGATGATCTGGATGTAGTGTGAATGGGCCCTGAAACAGAAAATTAGGGCCAGTGCTCAGGGGACCAGCTGATTCTGCAGGAAGCTAAGACTTCTGAACATTAAGGAGCAGCATCCATTGTAAGTAATTCAGTAAACATTTAAAAATGATTGAAAGCATTTTGACTTTAATATTACTTTAAGCTGGCCATGCACATATAAACATGAGAAAACCGCTCAGTTCTCCCATTCACGCTGTTCCACCTGACTCCTTCAATTGTTCATTAGAAGTCTGTCAAGCCGGGTTAGAATTTCAGATGATAGGATAGGCTGATATTCGAGCCATGCATGGTCAGCTTTAAGAGTGCATTTCTGGGAGATCAATAGCCATTTTGTGTACCTGCAGGGTCTTTAAAGGGATAACACATGGAGAAATGTCCATTTTGCATACACTTTCCACGTCTTCTGTGACAGGCTGCTTATTTTTTTTTTCAAATGACAATCCCTTTAAGCCCTTTCTGTATAACACCTAAATCAAAGATAACATGGTCAGCCTTCCATAAGTTTGGGTGTGTCTGTATTAGGACACAATGGCTTTTGTTATACATCTGTCTGGAGCTCTTTAAATGTTACTGCAAATTTGGCAGCTGCTCATTGATTGAATAGTGAGAAGAGCCTTCTGTGATCTGAGCTGCTGCTGTTACTCCACCGAGAGTTGACTCTTATTAGTAGTGACGCTGCAAATAAACCTCATCTGGGAGTTCTGTCACTATGCATGCAATTATCCCACAACGCGTCATGATGGAGCCAGACACCTCCGGGAGAGAGCTAATGATTATAAGTAGAGAATATTAAAGGGTCAGTCCATCCAGAACTAGGTAGGTGCTGGGGAATATAACCCCCTGGCATTTTCTTTTATCTCTCAGGGACTCTGCGGGTGAGATCTCTGCAGACCCAAGTCTGCATTCCTGCTGTGACCATTATAAGGGAATCCCATTATTCCTATTTAATTTTTAATTATTTTACCAAGAATGTAACGAGAGGAGCTGAAACACACACCGGTGGGCAGGAACACCCAAAACACCCAGGTGGCCAGGAAAAGAGTCCAAAATTATGGCAGGAAGATCTAGCTGAAGGACATATTAGAATCTAAGAGCTAAGTAAGCCCGCCAGGCTCCACCTGTTACTAAAATACCTATGAACACACAGCAGTGGGCAGGAACAGTGGCATGACAAGGGGGGTGCGGCCTGTACCCTAGTGACACCATTGGAGGGGTGTCACCAAAATGACTGACAGTCATGTTGGTGTCACCCCCTCTGAAAAGTCGGGCACTCGGTCATGGACCAAGAGCCCGACAATGTCAGGAGACAGGGGGGGACCCGGCGGCATACCTCATCCCGCCGGGTGAACGTCCCCTCCTCTCTCTGCCGACGTCCATCACCAAGATGGCCTGCCGGTAGGCATCAATTAGACGGCCGCGCATGCGCGATGACGTCATTGCGCACGTGCATGGTGACGTCACAGGCATGTGTCTTCACTCCGGGTGACTTCAGGCCTTGGGACGCCCCTGGGCAGGAACACCCAAAACTCTGAGGTGGCCAGGAAAAGAGTCCAAAATTATGGCAGGAAGATCTAGCTGAAGGATTATCCAAGACATATTAGAATCTAGGAGCTAAGTCAGACTGTCAGGCTCCACCTGTTACTAAAATACCTATGAATAGCAAAGATGTCACACCAGCAAGATGGGCAGATAGACATCCATCGGAACATAAATGTATCACATGCCTCCTGGATAAGCCACCATCTTGTTACTAGTGATGAGCCTGGGCTTGGTGCTAACCCAGTTGGACTGAGTTTGCCCAAGCTCGCTCAAAGCTGTGACCATCATACCCCTTCCAGCCCAATAAGGACCCCACACCGCAGTTACACATCACAAAGGGGTGTGGAATGCCACTCCGCAACTGCCGCTACTGATTGAGCCGGGAGGGGGTTTGGCTGTGTGGCGGTCACAGTGTTGACCGGGTTTGGGTGACCTGGATTCACCAAGCCCAAGCTCATCACTACTCATTGCTTTTTTGTCTGAAACCCCGAGAATAGGGGTAGGCAACCTCGGCACTCCATTTTTTCTGAAGCTACAAATCCCATGAGGCATTGCAAGACTCTAACAGTCACAGGTATGACTTCCAGAAGCACAGGCATTTAGGTTACCTTCCCTTGCCTTATGGTTGAGGTGGTTGACAAGGTCAGTGCATGCAAAAGTGATATTTAAAAAAAGTGACAGTTGTCACCCGGAACAAGTATCCCCGTTGGAAGATTTCCCCTCCATTCCGGTTTTGATGACAACCCAAAACTTTTGATTTTCCTTCATTTCAAGTCCCAGTGGCAGTGGACAATGGGACAAATACAAAAGGTGAAGTGTCCCAATGGAGTCACATAGACAACAATTGAAACCCAACAGAGGTTTTAATCCTTAGAATCTGTCTAAAATAAAAAAAAGGTTTTGGCTTCTAACTCCTTCTTCTATCTTCTTCTATCTCCCTGCCATAATTCCCGGTTCTGCTCCTGTCCACCTGGGAGCTATGGTTGTTCCCGCCCACCTTTGTGTGTTCTCAGCTCCTCCCCTTACATATTCCATAATATGAGATAGATAAAACATCCAGCCTAATCCCTAATGTACAGACCTGGAACTCAATACATAGATCTCAGCAACAGAACCCCCGAGAGGTATAAGAAATTGTCAGGTGGTTTATCTCTCCAGCGTCTACCAAAAACTGAAATATAAATTTGCAGTGGGCTGACCCTTTAATTCCGGACTCCAGGAATTAACCCCTTCCCACCATCACCACCACTGGTCACCTAATCTGTCCCTTTCCCCCCTGGTAACTTTTTTCTTCTAACCTTGACTTCTTAGACTTCTATGACTTCTTTATGCAGCACTGTGAGCCCAGCTTGCCTGGTGATGCACCCCCTAGAAAGGGATGTAAAAGCCAGGCTATGCACCCAAGAAATGGACAGAAGGTCATATGACTGTCATTGCTGCTGGTCGGGGTAAAAAAAAGAGGTAACTGGAGTTCCACTTTAATTCTCCAGCATCTGCTAATGAGAGCTGCATCAGCTGCTGATGACCCTGGAAATGTACCCTCCTGCATCCGTGTGACTCTTGTCTACACCGTAATGGTTGGACTGCATCATTTTATTTTTTGAATCGAAGACCCTGAATAAAATGGAGGTCATTTTGCATGGAATCTGCTACATCTCCAGACTTGCTAGTCGCCCCCCTGCCCCTGCCGATCGCATTCCCCGTGTCAGGTGGACCGCCTGCCTCAGCATCCTTTGCAGAACAATGGAAGACACCAGGAGACAGGCAAAGTAGACAAGCCTGAGACGGGAGAGCGGAGCAGTGCTGTGATGTCAGAAGACGCACACCTCCCCCCACCTCCATACAGCCAGAAGGAAGCATCCTCTGCTACAGGGAGGGAGGATGCAGCAGCGCCAGCCTGGGGATCCCTGTCTATTATCCTCTATGCTGCAACCCAGCCTTGGAAGAGAATGTCCTTAAAATCCCAGGTAACGCTCCATTTTACCTCTATCGCACCTTTTCGCCTTAAGTCTGCGCTGAGGTCATCGTCTCCTCATTCTCCTCATTCAGCTTCTCTACATTCATGTTTGGGGTGGGTGCCTTTTGTTCTAGTTTATGGCTTAAATTACTTCTGCTGCATTGCCGTAAAAGAAAAAAAAAGAAAAACAAAAACGTCTGGTGCGTACAGCGATTTGATTGGACGGTGATGGAGCATGTATTGAGCCAGGGATACTGACTGATAGAACGTAGCGTCAGACAGAGATACATGTGCTGTACTGTGTCAGGAAAGGCTCGCTCGTCAGGTCAGCCCGACACACGCTTTCCTAACACGTGTCCCATTCCGTGTGCCGAATGTGATCCTCGTGTACCACTTTGGCTGTACATCCTAATTAGTTGTCAACTATGTAAAAGGTTTTCCAGAGATGGCTTGTTAAAGAATTGGCGCATACCGGTTAGGGCTTTAAAAAAAACAACGAATAAGCCAAAATCAGAATTCATCTCCAACTCATCTGCCTGTGCTGAGCTGGTAACTGCTTACTTGAGAAACCCTCCTGCATGTCATCATTGCAGCTTAATTTTTTTGCAATTGGCTTATTTAAAAAAACTGTTTTGTATTTAAATACCAAAATACCTCTCGCAGCTAAATAATTGTCATATAATGATAAGAACTCAATCAAATAGGCAGAAAGGAATTATTTATAATGTGGTACTGAAAGCAATGAACATTTCTAGGGCAAATCTTTAAATTCTGTACATTTGTTCCATATCACAGTTTTATATTAGAATTTTCAGGGAGTGGCATACTTAAATAGTATTTACTGATACAGTGTACATATTATGTTTGTGGAAGAGCCACGGGACACGCAAATGAAAAGTTTGATCATTCTGAGTTAGTATCTTAAAATTCACAGATAACATGTCAGAATTCTGTGTTGGTATCTCAGAATTCTGACATATGATCATTTATAGTAACTCAGACTTCTAACATATGATCATAGATCATGCTGTTGGCTCACAGTGTCACTGGTTTCTAGGATACTGTCGGCTCACAGCAGTGGCGTAACCAGAGTTATGGGCGCCCGGGGCAGACATACAGTGTCATTGGTTACTAGGATGCAGTCGGCTCACAGTGTCACTGGTTGCTAGGATGCTGTCGGCTCCCATGTCACTGGTTTCTAGGATGCTGTCGGCTCACAGTGTCACTGGTTTCTAAGATGCTGTCGGCTCACAGTGTCACTGGTTTCTAAGATGCCGTCGGCTCACAGTGTCACTGGTTTCTAGGATGATGTCGGCTCACAGTGTCACTGGTTTCTAAGATGCAGTCGGCTCCCAGTGTCACTGGTAGCTAGGATGATATAGGCTCACAGTGCCACTGGTTTCTAGGATATTGTCGGCTCACAGTGTCACTGGTTTCTAGGATGCTGTCGGCTCACAGTGTCACTGGTTGCTAGAATGCTGTTGGTCCACATCATCATTACTTGCTATAATGATGTCAGCTGCACAGTTATCTTGGTTGCTAGAATGCTGTTGGCCGCACAGAACCTTAACAGCTAATAAAGCTATGCAGCCCAGGACCTTGATTGTGCGCTGAGGAAGGAGTGTTCCTGGTTAGATATTCCCGCCTCAGTGACACCTCCCATTGCACCTCCACGTGACAGATTCGTGTATCTCTTTACAACAGGTACATGAATTAGTTGCAGGTCTGACACTTGTCCTGCAGAGGTGCATGAGATAAAAAAAGGGGCCTCCATACCAGCTGCCTGGCTGTCTCTGAGTTCAGTTCTTCCTGAGTCACTGACATGAAACTGAAGTCATAACTCCGGATCTGCACACTTGTTCTGGGTCAGTGACTCAGAAAGAATTGACTGCAGATAGGCAACTAGATTTTCCAGCAGGAGGGGTCAGTAATAGTTCCATCTGTAGTCTTCCAGTATAGATTTCCTTTAAATAGATGGTGTCACTTTACCATAGTTCCTTGCATGCCCACACCCAAACTATTTTCACGCAACTTCACTTCACTCCCTGACGCTCCGCCATGGCTCTGGTGGAGCAATGGAGAGGCAGCAAAAGGTAAACAAGTCAGGGGTGGACTAGCAAAAGACTTTGTCACAATTCCATATGTCCCAAGTGTATCTAAGCCCAAGAACAAAGACGTCATATATTGAAGCTTACTGGTGAGGCGACTGCATTCGTTTTCCTTTTCCAGGCTTCTTTTCCTTTATTTTCATCCAGTGATCCTGCCAGTAACACTCATCCTGTCCTAGGGTGACAACACTCACTCAATGTACTTTATCTATGGAGGAGCAGCATTGTCAACCTGGGCTGCTCACTTCTGACCTGGACTACAGAACACTTTTCCTGCTGCTCATCTACATAACATAGGAACACATGGTGATATTTGCTTATGCCAAAGTTCAGCTTCAAAGAACTCATAAGGTGCCCACAGACTTTAGATGACAGTCTCTATTCTTCGATGAGGAACTGTAGAGGAAATGTAAGAAGGGAGTCAGGCCTGTATTGTGAACAAGCAATGTAGCCTCCAAATACTTCATTAAAAACTATACATACATATAGGGTTGCCATCTTTTCTTCCAGCGAAACCCGAACACTCTAAGGACGCACGGACATTTTCAGTGGGGGGTCAGTAGCCCCATCTTAATTTTGGTTGCTCCTATCTGCCTGACATCTTGTGTCTGGATTTCAGTTGCCATTAAACCCGGACACACAATTCAAAACCCGGACTGTCCGGGTGAATCCTGGATAGGTGGCAACCCTACATACATATCCTGTAAAATACAATATAGTATACAATATATACTGTAATATATATATATATGTGTGTGTATAATTTTACTAAAGGAACAGACTTCCAGCAGAGGTGGAGGATGAATTTAAACATGATCGATATAAGAATAGGTCTATCATCAGTCAAAATATTGATGAAATAAATAATATATTTTTTAAATTCTTTTTAAAAGGTTGATTGACCGATTGGCCTTTTTCTGGCATGACTCTGTGTTTCTGTGCACCCCTAAGAAGTCTACAAATGGCCTTTATTCCCAGACCGGGAGAAGTACATAGGCCTGTGCTCCCACCCACCATGTATTTGTAAGCCCGGCCGCCTCCAGTATGCTGCGCTGACTCAGCGTCTCTCTAATAGTCACTCCGTCCTCTTGTTTTGATTTCAAGTCAGATTCGATAGATTACAATCAGCATCCATTTGCTGCTATCAGCACCCAATTTCCTGTCAACAGAATACCTGCAGGGCAAAGACAGGGAATGCAGCATTTCGGATCAAAAACACATTAATATTTCATATATGAGACACGTATTTAGAATGTAACATACTAGGATGGAACACTGCAGCCCCTCTCCCCCCTTTCCGATAGTG